AGAAAAAAGCATGGAAGCTGAGTTTAAAGGGACAATTAACTGGGTGCTGCAGGAGAGGGCGGGGTCAGAATTTCATCATGAGACAATTTCAGCACAGTCTGAAGGGAAGGGTGAGAACCCGGGGCTGGGTGCTCACTTGAAGCAATGAGACTGAAGCCTCATCCTCCAGACCTCGAATTTGGATGGAGAGGGGTGGGGCAGAAAGAAGGGTGCAGTTTCCAGAGGCTGCTGAGCAGGCAGAAAACTGAGCAAGGTGAGTCATGAGGTGCAGGCAGCAGGAATTTCCTGCACTGCTTAGGACATTCATGGGGAGAGAGTCTGGAGAAGGGAGCTTGGTGACCAAATGCTTGGGTTCACCAAATCTCCCTTAGTATCCTAGGAAGGGTAAGACTGGATGTCACCCTTCTGACACCTCAGGCCTATTTAATTTTTCTTCTGTCTTTATAGGCCTTTCTTGCTGTTTTGAAGTGTTTTGCTTGCATACTGTACATTATAGTACTATAATGCTGATCAAAGTTAGGGAAGAAACCTCAAGAAACCTGCATTACACATATAAAATCTTCTGGTGATCCCACCTAAGTGTCCTTCAAGAAAACCCCACAAAACAACAAAATTTTTGTGACTCAAGAAAAKAAGAAACTACTTCTTTGGAGTGTACTTGTTACTGATCCTGCTGTGAGTGTGAATGCCCTGCACCCTGGTGTTCCTGAGGTAAGAGAATAAAATCTTAATTTCTTCTCCCTGCTCTGCTGTGTCTGCAAGTTGTTTGTTCTTGCACTAATGCTGCTGCTTGGAATCTTTGCCTGTGAGGAGGCTTCTCCTAGTTTATCTACTGACTTAAAAAAATAAATTGTACTTTGTTGATTCTTCAGCACAAATGTCTGAGCTTTAAAGCATCATTGTACATCGATCACACCAAGCCAGACTGAGTATATCAGAAACCCTTTGTGTGAACAACAGYAACATGCACCCGAAAAGCCCAAGTGCATGATGTGTTTTTTTCTCCAAAGGATTTCCTAACAGGAATCTCCTCCTTTGAGCTTTTATCAGTACATTCAAATGTAAATTATTTAGATGTTTTTGCAAGTTGTAGAATCACCTGTTCTCTGACAGATCTCCTCTTTCAAGAGGTTTGAAAAGTCAAAAAACCTTGGAGGGAAAGGAAATCTAGCTTGGGTAAGCTGTGCGGGTTTGTACAGAGAAAACTCTGTAAGAATAATCATTGCTGCTTGCACTCGGTTGGGACTTCATTACAGCTCTTAAAGGACAAGCCTGGATGCAGAATTTTGTGAGTTTGAAAACCTGAGAGCAGGACAGCAAAAGATTATCACAGTTTTCCTTTGATACCTGCCTGTTTGCTGCAGTAGTGACCCCTTTGGTACTGAGCACTTGCTTAAACGCCAAGTGATTTCCATTAGGCAATAGAGATGCCCTGAGGTTTCCTCCCTGACCCTCTTTGAATACACAAATTCCCTAACGAGCTGGCGTCTCTACCACCCTGCTTAGGGGAGTGGAAAGTGGGAGGGGGAATCTCCCYGCTTGCTTGCAGTGCCAAACACGAGCTGCCTTTGCGTGCACCTCAAGAAACCCAGAGAGCCTTGGGGGGAAAAAAGGCATTGATTGCCTTGAGCACACAGAGAAGTCGCTCAGGATAATACACAGAGTTCTCTGTGGTAACTTTTCTCCCCTTTATCTCATATTCATCGTTTGGGGAAGGTGTCTTTTACCTAAGCCGTTCATATATTTTTGGTTTCTCTTGACTCGATACCTCTCTGATTCTGTCCCTTGCTACAGCACAGGATTGCAGAAGGGCATCAGTGGGTAATAGAGACATAGAAATTATTTCAGCTGCTGCCATTTTTGGACTGAATCAAAGCGTGCATTTTGAAATGTCACACTTGTGTTTGATTAGACAGTACTGCAGCACCCACCTGGGAGCCCCAGGCCTTCCTCAGAAGAAAGCAAAGGACAGCACATGCTGTCACCAGAAGGAAAGGCAGAACAGGGTACAGAAGCTCAGGGTTTGGTGACAGTTTTGGTGGAGTTAGAAGACCTGYAGTACACCTCTTGCAGAGATAAGAAGCATTGAAGCTGTTCTTGTCTTTTTCTCGCTCTAGATTTTTTAAAGCATTCTTAGCATTTCTACGTTCTAGCTGAGGCTGACTTTTAGAAATCTGAGGAACTAAAATCACTTTTTCATTTTTGTTGGTTTCCAAAATTGGTTTATACTCCTCTGCAGGCTAAATATGACTTGTTTTCAAAGATTAATCCAATGTAGAGTCCCTCTGCTCCAACCCCGTGTTGCTGTTTCAGTGCTGTGGCTCTCGATGTTGATGCTGTTCCACCTCAACTTGTTCATGTCGCTGCACACAACTTTGTTGATGGGCTGGGAGCCATCTCCAGCTACACAAATGCAGGTCTTAGGAGCATCTTTTCCAGATTTTAATCCCACGCAGTTAACCTCTCCTGGAATCCAGGATCTCTGTGGACATGCCAGATACGCCTGCTGTAACTTGAATTGGGGATGTTCTTCCTCATGTGCAGAAGGCGCAGTRTTTCTCTGGACTGAGTTGTGGTTCTGTGTTTTGTAGTTTGTTTTTAAACTAARCTACCACGGCTTCATCATTTTTGCTTTAAATATGTTTAAAAAGCTCTGTAGGCGTTGGGTAATGACTGACAGATGTAAGACATTTAAAATTCACATGGAATAGCATTTTATGCTTTCAATTACCCTTCTCATCTCWCCAATAATTTGTCAAAACACCTTATTTTATCTCTGTGTTCTTCCTGTTCTACTGCAAATCCCCATCCTTTATAGGAAGTTTGCTTTATAGTAAACTTTATCCTATTTTACATTAGTTTTAAATGATCTTAATCTTCAAACTCTGTTCTGAAGGCTTCTATGTGATTGACAGGCATCCTATTTCACCTTCCCCCATCCACACAKCCATACATTTAGATTGGGTATTAGGAAAAAATTCTTTACTGTGAGGGTTGTGAGGTTCTGGCAGAGGTTGCCCAGAGAAGCTGTGGCTGCCCCATCCCTGGCAGTGTCCAAGGCCAGGCTGGATGAGGCTCTGGGCAACCTGGGACAGTGGAAGGTGTCCCTGCCCTGGCAGGACGTTGGAAGGAGATGATTTTCAAAAGGTTCCTTTCAACCATCCTGTGATTCTATATTTCACATTCCTCTTTGGTCACACAGCTTTTACCCGGGAGCCAGGAAGCCCCTTCCCTGCCAATGGAGSTTTAAAGCCAGTTTGTTCTGGTTTATTCTCTCTCCTCACTGCACAGCGCGGCCGCWTTTTTCACTCCTTTTTGTCAGCGGCGCTGGAAACCTTTCCCCGTGTCCTTTGTGCCTCGGCCGAGCCCGTGTTGTGKCAGCTCTGTCCGGTGGTTTCACAGCGGGACCCGCTCCCTGCAGCTCTTCCCTSGGTTCTCCCTTTCCCGAGCGCTCCATGGCCCGCTTTCCGTGAGGGGAACGGGGCTCCCCTGGACCCGCATGTCCCTGGTGCCACCGGAGCTCTCCCGGCCCCGCGGTCCCCCTCCTTCCCCCTGAGCCACCGGCTCCCGGGAATGCCGATGCCCCGCCGTGGGACACGGGATTTGTCCTGGAGCGAGGCGGGGGAACCGGGCGCRTCCCGCCATCCCTGGAGCCAGGACGCGGGATCACGCCATTCCAGCGGGGCGTGGGGATCCCGTCGGGAATTCARACTGGGATCCCCGCGAGATTCGAACCGGGATCCCCGGGGAATTCAAACCGGCATTCCCGGGGGATTCCAGCGGGATCCCTAGGGGATACAAGGCGAGATCCCTGGAAATTTCAGCTGGGATCCCCGAGGGGATTCGCGGCGGAATTCCGTGGAGATTCAAGGCGGGACGCGTCGCCCGCCCGCCACCGCCCCTTCGCGCCGGGGCCGCTGGCCGCCGCCGCTCCGCCCTCCCCTCGTTGTTTGTCCCCGGGCGCGCTCCGTAGCGCGTGCGGTGGCGGCGGCACGAGCCGGGCCCCGCCCCGCCCCTCCCCGGTGCTGCGGGTGCGCGAGGAG